AGATCGGAGCATCAAGGTCGTTGTAGACGGTGCATGTTCTGACTACAAGCCTATTAACGCTGGTGTTCCACAAGGCTGTGTGCTATCACCAACGCTGTTTCTTCTGCATATCAATGATATGTTGCTAACTGGTAACATTCATTGCTATGCGGATGACAGCACTGGTGATGCTCTATACACCGGCCGGGCCAATATTTCTCGGGAAAACGTCGCCGAGTACCGGAACAAACTTGTGTCTGAAGTCGAGTCTTTGCTGGACAAAGTCTCGGATTGGGGGCGACTAAATCTAGTCCAGTTTAATCCTCAGAAGACACAAGTTTGCGCGTTTACCGCTAAAAAGAACCCCTTTGTCGTATCTCCTCAGTTTCAAGGCACTCCCCTTCTTGCCTCAGCCAGTATCGGTATCCTCGGAGTCGACATATCGAGTGACGTGCAGTTTCGTGGTCACTTGGAAGAGAAGGCCAAATTGGCCTCTAAAAAGCTTGGCGTGCTCAGCAGAGCGGGACAGTATTTCATGCCGGCACACCGCCTGCAACTTTACAAGGCGCAGGTTCGGCCTCACATGGAATACTGTTCCCATCTCTGGGCAGGGGCTCCCCAGTGCCAGCTCCTTCCACTTGACCGCATCCAGCGCAGAGCGGCTCGAATCGTCGACGACCGAGCCCTTTCCGATCGGCTCGATTCATTGGCACTGCGAAGAGATGTTGCATCTCTTTGCATTTTCTTTCGCATCTACCATGGGGAGTGCTCTGAGGAATTGTTCGGATTAATCCCAGCCGCCAAATTTCATGAACGCACATCGCGGCAGAACTCCCGATACCATCCACACCATCTGGATGATTGGCGGTCCACCACTGTGCGATTTAGAAGATGTTTTCTTCCTCGCACGACTTCCTTGTGGAATCGATTACCATCAGCGATTTTTCCGGACCGATATGACTTAGGGACCTTCAAGAAAAGAGCCTACTCCTTTTTAAAAGGCCGGCAACGCATCTGCAATTCCCCTGGTGTTGCGGTTGTTCATGGGCGGCGGTAGTCACTTACCATCAGGTGAGCCGCATGCTCGTTTGCCCCCTCTCCTATAAAAAAAAAAAAAAAAAAAAAAAAAAAGACTTTTTCGGCTGTGAATAGCCTGGTGATACTACGGAAGGCATCGATCGAGTTGGGAATGATTTTAATAGTCTCCCCGAGGTTAATCGCATGGTCATATTTAATGCCTGCGTCGTATAAGGATTTCGACAGCTTGGTGAATAATGCCTTGTCTCTTAGGAAGACAGGGGGCGGGACTTGCTTCTTTGCAAGGATTGGGACACAGCGGGAAGTTGGCTTTGATGGTGGGGCGATGTCCATTGACATTAGGGGAGCCGTAGCAGCAGCGGGGGCTGCGGGGGCAGAGACGGCAGCGGGAGCTGCGGGGTTTGAGGCAGCAACGGGGGCTGCGGAGGTGGAAGGAGCAGCGTATGCATCGGTATTTGCTGCTTAAGTACTTAAAACACACCCCCCTCCCCCATCTTCCCTAACCCACTTCCACCGGTCGTGCAAACCCATTTGCTCTAGCTTCCTACATTTGGCGATTGGGTGTTCACCCCCACAACACATACATGAGGCACTACCGGTGTCCTCCTGGGCGATGAACGTCTTTACGTCGAGGGCCCTATCCTCTACGCGGCGTATCGACACTATCCTTTTCGACGGCGGCGCCTCTCGTCTACGGGCGATTCCTTAGTCGACGTTAAGGACGTACAGGCGTGACTTAACACACGGTCAGCCTCTCTCATCATGAACCGGTATAGCGTGACGTGAGTGAGGGCTAAGTTTGCTAGTGACCTCCCTAGTGAGCATCGGATTTCGTAAGTATCCTTTGCCATCGACGTTCTGCATAATGCACACTATATTCTGTAATTTAATAGCGAACGAATTTAATTCCTGGGCGGTTTGACCCGGGCGCGGAAGGCGTTTTAATTCCTCTAACACACGATCTATAATTACTTTCGGGCGGCTAAAACACTGCTCCAGTGTCCGCATAATGTCTGCTGGATCCTTCACGGTAAACAGCAGCGCCGATACTACTTCTCTAGCCTCACCGCGTAAACAGTTCCTTAACCTTGCCATATTTTCCGTATTTGTGAATCCATATAAACGCGTGTATTCTTTCATCGCGGCTTTAAACGCTAACCATTCCGCGGCCGAACCGTTAAAAACAGGCAAGTCCTGCGTCTGCTTCGCGGCGGCTGGTCTGAGTCTTATCATGCCTTCTAAGGCTTCCGCTAGCCGTTCTATACCCCTATCTTTCCCTCGCGGGGTGAGCGACCTATCTCTATCCCTATTTCCCTCTAGCCTACGCTGTGGCGCTGGCGACCTATGTACACCTACATCCCTATAACACGGCGACGGTAATCTACGATCCGCAAGGCGATGTGGCGATTTATCCATGCCTACATCATTACACGGCGACGGTGATCTACGATCCACGTTGTGATGTGGCGATGGCGATTTACGTGCACCTACATCCTTACACGGCGACGGTAATCTACGATCCGCGTGGCGATGTGGCGATCTATGTATAGGCGATAGAGTGCGGCGTTGGACGCGCGACGGCGACGTAACCCGTACACGGCGATCCACCTAGTTCATTTCTACGGCGACTCCATTGTCCCTCTGTATCGTATCTACGCGGCGCGGTTGAACATCATTCGCAACCGACCTCCCCTGGGCATCTTCAGCGTGGTCGTAACCGGTTCCCCTACTCGGCGGGGCCTGCTCTATCTCGATGCGGGGCGCGGGCTGAGACGGACGGTGGGCGGCTCCCCCCGCACAATGTCTAAGTTCTCTAACCACCTATCAACGCGTACCCTATTTTCAACTAATTCGTCCTCGTTTAGACTTTCCCTATCCGTTTCTTCTTGCAGTTGAGCGATATCCCTAGCGTACTTCTTCTTGATAAGATCTTCCTCGATTTGTGATTGCTTCCTCCTAATTGCAGCTAGTTCCTCCGCGGTATTATACTCGATTTACTTTAACTTTGCTATTGCGCTAGCTGTCGACCGGGCTGAACGGACTGACCGGACCGAAGGGGCGCGGGACGCGGGCCTATGTACAACGTCTGCTACAGGCGCGATGGTACGCACTATGGAACTAGTCTCTGTAGTCGGAAGATCTTCTATAATCGCGGCGAGCGTCTCTGTGCGCGGCGCGGATGTGCTAACTTCTCCCAAGCGATCGGTTGTAGACACGGACATAGCGGGGCGCGGCGGCGCGGGCGCGGGCGCGGGCATAGATGCGGGCGCGAGCGGGGACTGCGGCACGGCGGAGGGCGCTTGTGCCAACGCGAGATAATCGGACGGGGACGCGGGTGCTTCCTCGAATATCCGCATTCCTACTGGCGTTTCGTCGTCGTTCCGCATGGTGATGTCCCACGTTGCGACCTCCGATCGTCTTCAAAAAGACGCACGTATTGGACGCCGTTCCTGCCTCAAGGGCGTTACCAGATGGTCACAGTTTGGCACCGTTAGGGAGCAACCACCCGGCCGCGTAAACGCGGTTTAAGAAACAAGAATTGTCTAGAAACAGACAATATGCGTATATGACGTCGATCTTCTCTCTTCGTCGACGTACTTCTTTCTTCCTTGTAGATCTTCTATAATGATCTTCTTTCTTCTGTAATTATGTTCTTTCTTCTGTAATTACCTTCTTTCTTCTGGCTTGAATCTGGCGACGATGGACCAAGATTTTGTTAGGGATCGAACGTGGACTGTATTAATTTAATTTGCAAGTGGACTGTATGACTGACTACGCTAGGGGACTGCTTAAAGAAAAGAAGGTACTAGGAACTATACTGTATTCAACTATTTACAAATGTGGCACTAATAAACTATATACAGAGGGGAGTCTTCTGGATTTCTCTGGAGTCTTGATTTCTCTTGCTGTTTCTTCTCTTCGAGTGCCGCTTCCGAAATGAACCGAAATGAACAGCTCACAGACCAAAACGCCCTTCTTATATCCCACAAAAGTGCGTCTCGGTTCGTGAGTAGTATCGTAAGGCGATGCCGCGCGCTGATTGGTCGGCGACATCGCGTGATCTGCTGCCGGTGTGCAGGGTGCGCGGGGCGTAACGGGGTGTGAAGGGGCGACGGGGTGGCGGCCTCCTTCGCTGTCCGCTACAGTTACAATACTATTCTTTTTATCATTAAATACAAAGTTATATGTTTTATAATTCTGAATAAGGCTGCGCTTGTTTTTTCCGCGTTGCTGTGTGCAACCATCGCTAGTTGTCGAACCGTGAGCACGGCCCGACGATCGTAATACCGTCATGGCTCCGCTCACCGCCGCTAGGTTGTTCAACTAGCGTCGGTTACGACAAGAATGTATTTCGTTCGACGTATCACGTTGTTTGCGTCGTGAACAGTACGCAAGATTATTTTTACCAACTTTAGTTGAAATTTTCACAGAATGTGTATTTCTGTTGCCGCTATAACAGCAAATAATAAAAATAAATTAAAAATTAAAGAGGCTCCCCTACTCGAAACGTGTATTACGATAGTACGGAACCCTTCATGCGCAAGTCCGACTCGCACTTGACCGGTTATTTATGATACAGCATGCGAATTTTACCAGTCATACACTTGTTAAGGTAGAATTTAAAAAATGGCTGCATCGCATATTTTAAACTTTATATTTACCACATCGATTGATTTTAAAATCGATAGCCATTTTGACTTTCTAGTTAGTGTAACTGAACGCTTTCAAATTCGATATATCGTGTTGTCTCCGATCATGGATCCGTTATTGGAATACTAAAATTGGCCGCTATTTTGAAAAATCCTGTTTTAGACGAATACCGCTTTGCAATACAAATTCTATGTCAGAATTAAAAAAGAAGTTCTTGTAGTTAATTTATGCACTTTTAAGGCTTGTATCTAAGAGTCCGTGTGTTCTATGAATATTGACTTTAAAAGCGATTGATTTAATAACTTATAACCAATCAACAATTATATTTTCAGGTGATTTCAAACACTGAAGTGTGGGACTTACGGACGTTCCATCTGCTCAGGACTGTGCCGACTTTGGATAAATCAGAGGTGTGTATTTTACCATTATTTTTAATCGAGAGATGCGACAATCGTGCAAATGACCTGGCATTATAGACATCAAATTATCTGTTCTAATACCAAAAGGCACCAACATTTGTCTACTGTCAACTGTTGGTTTTTGAATTATATAGGTATGTGTGTGGTAAGTGATTCACCGCATACTCGGTTGTGAAGGAAAATATTGTGAGGAAATCTGCATGTTGCATGGAGAAATAAAAAAAAGCGCTGCCATACCGTTCATCAGATTGCGCTAAAACATTGTTAACTTCTCGTTTGCACTTTGGGAAGGTTGTAGGTATGTTAACTAACTTAATAGGTGGCGCGCATATCGTACCGATAAATTTATTTGTAAGTTATATTTTATCATTCACTTTCAATAAATGTATAATAATTCCTTATTAAACAATATAACTCTCCAAACTTAAAACTATATTTCCACAATTATTTCTTCTGCGGGTACAACGCGCCGGGTAGTTAGTAGAATATAAAACTTAAATATTACAACATTATTTTAATATCTAATAAATAATATAAAGTACTAGAGAGCCGAGGTAGCTCGTTGTAAATGTTACAGTACGCGAGCAACCCAACTCTGTTGGCCTGCTGGTTCTTCTCAGGTCAGGTCAGGTATTTTTCAAACCAGTGGTAAATGAAACATAATAATGACTTTCAATAACTATTATTTATAATCTATAGTGAATAAAAAAATATCTATTACTAATTCTTACACGGCCAGTACATGGCGATACAGGGCAACGTGTATAACTGTGCTTAATTAAGTCTGAGATCTATTTGTTTGTTACGAAAATGTCATTCGGGTTCCAGGTGATCTTCAACCCGACGTGCACGGCTCTGTACGCAATCTGCTCGGATCAGGACTCGGAAGAACGCAGCCAGTTTGACACGAGTTTTAAGACCCTCGACCCGTACGATTATTCAAGTATAGGTAAGTCAACATTAAACTATATAAGGTCTAGAGTCATTGTTACGGCGTGCAGCTGCCTATCTAATGGTAGGATCCTCCTAGGCCCATAGTAAGAAGAACCTACAGGCAGATGCAGGTCGGGCCTTTAAGGCCAAAGTGGAAGTTCTCTAATTAAAATAAACAAAGGGGGAAAGATCGGTAAGAGAAAGGCACTTACCTGCCTCAGGAGCGGAGACGGTTCACCAGGACCGGCCCGGCTGATGGAAGTGTCGTGAATGTATGTGTGCTTGTATGAATGTGTGTGTGTACGTGGCCTGGTCTAGATGACACAATGCTGTCCTGGAGAAGGTATCCGCTGGTAGCCTCGGAAATATTCCCCTCTTGAGGCACTCTTTCTGTTTTGTCACGTAATGGTACAGCCAAACGTAGAACTTCAGAGGAAAATCACTATCGGAGTTGCACAATTAATTTAACAGAAGTTAAAAAGTCCTAAAGAACAATACGTGTTCTCGCAACGATTTACGCGGGTTGATACTTTCGTAACAAAATTAGGCGCGAAACTCAGACGTCAGTATAGATCGCAAAAAATTTTCAATGCCCGTCGAGAAATCTGGCCGATACCGCTGTGGAATGCGGCCGGGTGGGGGGCGGGTGACCTTGCTATCGATGCTACGAACGCTCGTTAAAGAATTACGTTTCAAAGGTATAATATTATTGCCTAAACAAACCCCCGCCTCGGACATAAGGCATTATGTCCGCGAGTAGATTGGCAAACGGGACAAGGTCGCGACGGCACGTTGCAAGACCGAATCTCCGACCAAAACCTCGGCCACTCTAGGCACCCCATCCGCTCCATACGACAACTTAACAATGCGCCCATGGCGCCAATACAAAGGTAGAGCGTTGGGTTCTTTAACCAACACGAGGTCTCCCAACCGAGGAGGCTCCGTCTTGTCAGACCACTTAATGCGCTGCTGCAAAAGATGTAGGTACTCCAGAGACCATCGGTGCCAAAAGCTCTGAGTCATATGTTGCAGCAGGGCAAACCTGCTAAGCCGCGAAGCGCTCGTTTCCCTGAAGGGGTACTCGGGCAGAGCGTTAAGCGGCTGGCCAATCAGGAAGTGTCCCGGGGTTAGAATCTCCAAATCATTCGGGTCGGATGAGAGGGGACAGAGGGGCCGAGAGTTGAGTACAGCCTCAATTTTACAGAATACAGTGGCGAGCTCCTCAAATGTCAAAATAGTTTCACCAATAACGCGACGGAGATGCGTTTTTGCCACTTTAACCACCGCCTCGAAAATACCGCCCCAGTGGGGACACGCCGGAGGGTCGAATTTCCACTGAATGCCCCTTTTTGACATAGCATTGCCTAAATAAGTCCCGGGGCTAAACAGAAACTCGACGACCTCCTTTAGATACCTATCCGTGCCCTTATAATTCGTTCCGCAATCCGACCGGATCAAGTCCGGCAAACCGCGCCGCGATACGAAACGGCCAAGCGTGGCCAAGAAGGCTTCCGTGCTGAGGGCGCTTACAAGTTCCAAGTGAACGGCTTTAGTGGAGAGGCACACGAAGACGCAAAGATAGGCCTTATGCGAACGCGCGTTACGAAGGTTAGAGGACTTGACGAGGAAGGGGCCAGCAAAGTCGGTTCCGATTCCAGCGAATGGTCGGATGGCCCTGACGCGGTCGGGCGGCAAGTCACCCATGAGGGGCTGCGATATGGTGGCCTTCAATTTATAACAGGATATGCACTTAAAGATGACGCTCCGAATGGTACGTCGGCCAGCCAAAATCCAAAACTCCCGCTGCAAAATAGCCGAAAGAGCGTTGCACCCAGCGTGGGCATTCATAACATGGTGGTGGGCTACCAGCAACCGGACCAGGGCGCCGTCTTTAGGGAGCAGCAACGGGTGTCGAGCCCCGTACGGCAGTTGAGAATTTTTCAAACGTCCGCCAACGCGCAGCATCCCCGCGTCATCCAGAAAGAGGTTCAGGCGGGCCAGGGCGCCCTTGATAACGGAGCCACGCTTCAAGTTTTCAATGACGGGCTCAAATTGCTCCGTTTGGACCATACGGGTCCAGTGCATCAAAGCTTCACGACGCTCGCTAGGGGACAAAACGCTATCAGAGAGTCGGTTGGACGGGTATCTCGATTTGCGGACAAAGCGGCGCAACCAAGCAGTAACTCCCAAGAGCTTATCGAGGGAGCTGTACCGTTCCAGAAGAGAGAGATCCCGAGTGGGCTTATCCTTGCCCACTCCTACTCGGGCTCGTAGGCCCGGCAATTCGGTAGGTTCGGAGTAATTGCCCGGGGGCCAGAATGACTGAGACCCAGATAACCAACCGGGACCCCACCACAGTGGGTGGTCAACCAGCGATGGGGCCTCACAGGCGCGAGAAGCGCAGTCTGCGGGATTCAACTCCCCTGGGACATGTCTCCAGTTGAGAGAAGTCTCAGAACTCTGGATTTGAGACACGCGGTTCGCCACAAAGACCTCAATATTGTGAGGTGCAGCTCGGAGCCAACAAAGTACTATCTCACTGTCCGACCATGCGTAGACGCCCGTAATGTCGATTACAGGCTTCAAGGAAGAGTGAACGTGGTTGAGGAGTCGCGTGAGGAGAGCGGCACCGGACAGTTCCAATTTAGGGATAGTTAAGCGGGACCTAATGGGAGCAACCTTGCTTTTAGCGAGTACGAGATGGACGGCAGTATGACCAGAGGAACTCACCGTCCGCAAATATACGACGGCAGCATAGCCCTTCTCAGAGGCGTCGCAAAACCCATGTAGGGTAGCCCGGCATTTCCCTGGGGGAAGGAAGCACCTTGGCATGGAAACCCGGTTGATGTCCGGAAGGGAGGAGAGCATGGAGAGCCACTCTCGCAAGAGGACTCCGCTAATAGGCTCGTCCCAACCCAACCCGGACATCCAGAGCTTTTGAAGAAAGCACTTAGCTAAAAAGATGAACGGGGTGATCCACCCATTAGGGTCGAAGGTGCGGGCTGCGGTGGACAGCACGGAGCGTTTGGTCCATGCTTTGGGCGGTGGGTCAAGTTTTACTCTATACGTGAAGGTGTCCTGAACAGGCTGATATTTAATGCCCAGCACAGTCAACAAATTAGGATTCTCAGGGTGCTCGAACAGATGAGGGTCTTGTTGATCCTCTCCTGGGAGGTCCTTCAAAATATGAGGGGAGTTCGACAACCACTTGCGCAACTCATAGCCTCCGGACTTCAGGATGGCAATTAATTCGTCTCGCAAGACCAGAGCCTCCTCGACGGTGGAAGCGCCCGTACAAATGTCGTCCATGTAGACCGAAGTCTCCAAAATAGAAGCTCCCCGAGCGTATCTCAGGCGCTCTCTCTCAGCGAGTTCAAGGAGGGTTCGCATGGCGATATACGGGCTGGACCGGAGTCCGTATGTGGTGGTGTTCAACTCAAACACCTGTATAGGATCGCTGGGCTTCTCGCGCCACAATATCAGCTGATATCGACGGTCATCACGATGGACCACTGATTGGTGAAACATCATCCGAATGTCCGCTACAAAAACCACTTGGTGTCGACGGAATTGGGTCAAGATGTCGGATATGTCCTTGATCAGTTTAGGACCCGAGTGAAGACACTGGTTCAGAGACACACCATTTGATATGGGGGCGGAACCGTCAAAAACCCGAATCTTACTCTCAGGGGTCCTCAAGACCGCATGGTGAGGGAGGAAGTAGTGCTCCTGTGAACGCCATTCGAAGTTGGACGGTGACATGTGACCCAGCTCTTGATACTCGCGCATGAACTCGACATATTTGTCGCGAAAGGCTGGGTCGCGCTCAAAGGCTCAGTGGAAGCGGCCATGGCGGGAGCTAGGGCGGCAGCCTCCTATCTGGAGCTGCCTCTGTCGGACCGGCACCCGAACCGGGGGCCCCGAGAGCGGCACTCCGACGGCGTCCCGATGACCCTCGACTGGAATTCCCCGAACGGGCCGACCTGGGGAAACTCGGGGATCCTCGGCTCCGAGGCCCGGGGCCGATACGCAGTCTCCGGAACCCGGTAGTACCGGCACCGACCAAAGGGGGGCGGGCGGCGTTCCAGTCGCGGCCACTCAGCCAACGGGGGTGAGAACAGTCTAGCTGACCGCTGAGTGGCTGCGAATCCACTATCAACCCGCTGAGGGGGGGTGAAGACCCCCCCCCGCCCCTGGGGGAACGACTCCCCGACCGATCGGGGGAGGGACTCCCCTCAGAACGAGGGGTGCTGTGGTCAACCGGTGAGCGCCGAGCGTCGCCCGACAGTGGGCGTGGCTGGGCGCCCCCGCCCGTGGGAGTCGGGGGGCTGGCAGGGCCCGGAGAGGACGAGCCGCGCGCACCCAGGCACAACATGACGTGGTGGTTGCCCTGGCAGTGCGTGCAGGGCCGCTGGTGCTGGCAGTCTCTTTGTAAATGCCTCTCCAGGCACGAGAAGCACCAGCGGCGCTCCCTGGCGATGGTTCGCCTCGCCGTAGCAGGCTTGCGCAACAACTTCGGGCACGACGCTGCCCGGTGGTCGGATGCTCGACAATAGGAGCAGGAAGGCGCCTCCCGGGCCGCTAGACCACTATAGGAGGGTAGGGGGGGGCGCCCTCCCGCGGGGGCTCCGCTCGGCCTCAGGGGGATGGGCGCCGCCTTGGCCGTCTGATTCCGCCTCTCCCTGGGGACCGCTCGTGAGGCGGCCGGGGGGCCCTCGACGGCGCCTGCTGCGTTCTCCAACTGCCTACACTGCTCCTCCAGGAACCGCAGCAGGTCCCTAAAGGGGGGAATATACGAGGCGCCATCCCCTCCGTACCTCTCCTCAAAATGGAGCCGAAGGTCGAGGGGCAGGCGGGACAGCACTATATGAAGTAGCAAAAAAGACCACTCGTCCACAGGTAAATCCAGCCGCTGCAACGAGTTGCACGCTACGACGACTGGATTCACTATGTCTTCACGTAGTCTAGTCCGGTCCTTCAGCAGCGGGAGGTTCAGCAGCCTCCGAACATGATCATCCGCAATCCGCCGGACGTTGGCGTATCTTCCAGCGAGGAGGTCCCTGGCGTTTTGGTAGGCGTCGTCCGACAACTTAAGGTGGCCGACGACGCCCAGGGCCTCCCCCTCCAGTGATGCCAGGAGGTACCCCATTTTTTGGCAGGGGGTCAAGTCCCTCCGGGCGTCCACCAGGCTGTCAAACATACCAACGAAGGTCAGCCATTCCGAGAGGACCCCGGAGAACCTTGGCAGGTCCAGCGTGGGGAGTCGTCCTAGCAGCTCTGGCTGAGTGGGCGGCTTCCGAGGGGACTCGAGCAGGCTACTCAGCCGAGCTTCGCGCTCCTTCTCCGCGTCCTTGGCCCCCGCCTCGATCAAGTTGTCCGTGAGCGCGAGGAACTGCTCGTAGTCCGCGCGGCAGGAGTCCAGGACTCCCTTTTCCACCTCCGAGTCCTCGAGCTCAGCGTAAGCCTCCTCCACGGCAGCCCTTCGAGCATCGACCTGCTCGAGCCTCTTCCTCAGATTATAAACCCTATCCGGTCGGCCTATCAAAGCGTGTGCGCTGGTAGCCCAGCGCAGCTCAGTCCGCAAGCAACGAATTAGTAGCTTATGTGACGGCATCCCTACTAAATACAATAACAAAAATAACAAATACAGTTCCTTTCAATCAAGTTAGATAGAAATTACACAATTATTAATCGAGTTAGATAGAAATTACACAATTATTAAATACAAGTTAATACGAAAAAACACAAATCAAATTAGCAAGTAACAACCCTAGTACGATCAACAAATTATCCCATTACGTGACAGCCTTATCTACCTAATCAAAATACTTCGCCTCAACAAATTCTCGCTTGTTAACCTACGGGCGTGGCGTTAGCAAACTACCTCCTAACAACAAAAAAAAGGCGAGCCACAATGCAACAAAGAAAGAATTATTATTTATATTAATTATTATTATATTAATTTTACGTATTACGGCCGGGCGTGATTGTAGACACAATCAACCACGCTTCTGCTACCAAATGTTACGGCGTGCAGCTGCCTATCTAATGGTAGGATCCTCCTAGGCCCATAGTAAGAAGAACCTACAGGCAGATGCAGGTCGGGCCTTTAAGGCCAAAGTGGAAGGTCTCTAATTAAAATAAACAAAGGGGGAAAGATCGGTAAGAGAAAGGCACTGCCTCACCTGCCTCAGGAGCGGAGACGGTTCACCAGGACCGGCCCGGCTGATGGAAGTGTCGTGAATGTATGTGTGCTTGTATGAATGTGTGTGTGTACGTGGCCTGGTCTAGATGACACAATGCTGTCCTGGAGAAGGTATCCGCTGGTAGCCTCGGAACTATTCCCCTCTTGAGGCACTCTTTCTGTTTTGTCACGTAATGGTACAGCCAAACGTAGAACTTCAGAGGAAAATCACTATCGGAGTTGCACAATTAATTTAACAAAAGTTAAAAAGTCCTAAAGAACAATACGTGTTCTGGCAACGATTTACGCGGGTTGATACTTTCGTAACAAAATTAGGCGCAAAACTCAGACGTCAGTATAGATCGCAAAAAACTTTATAATGCCCGTCGAGAAATCTGGCCGATACCGCTGTGGAATGCGGCCGGGTGGGGGGCGGGTGACCTTGCTGTCGATGCTACGAACGCACGTTAAAGAATTACGTTTCAAAGGTATAATATTATTGCCTAAACAGTCATGTTGCGACTACATTTAAATAGGCACCTATTATTTCAATCAGTGTCGTGGCTTCACGATGAAAGTACGCCTCCGACAGATGTAGGTATAACAGATTGTTACTCCTGTGTGATCGTTTATATAATAAAGTCGTTTTTGAAAGGTGAAATTGATGCGAATTAATTTTGTATATTAAGTTCCTGCGCATGAAAACTATTAGTGCCTTAGCCTTAACAACTTGGTATGCTATCGGCATCAATTATCTGCTGGCCTAAGCTGACGTCATCATCACCCAATTACTTCACAATGTGATTCCATTCCATTACCTATAAAACTCCATAAAAGCCTATAAAAGTCCACTATTGAAAATAGGTCTCTTCCATAGATTGCCATAGTTAAGCAATAAGACAATCAATTGCAGCCATTTTATTATTTGCGTTGTTATCAGGAAGGTGCTGCTGCCTATCTCCTATTTCAGTTTTCTTTTGTCGCCTCTAAGGAAATCACGGGACGTAGTAGATGTTCTTACACCGCCACTACATGATTAAACATATTGTGATAAAAAATAATTTCCTTTTACTTGACACTGGCCAAAATACAATAGTAAGAGTTCATTATTAAAAAAAACATTTTGTGGCACACATCTAGAGGCGGACCATCAAAGGGCGATAATATTAACGAGATCGAACAACAATTCCGCAGCAACGATCGACGTGAAGCGCAACATCTACTCGCTGAGCGTGTCGCGGTACGGCACGCAGATCTCGCTGGTGGAGAACATGGGCGACTTCGAGCAGGTGCAGGAGTCCTGGGTCAAGCTGTACGACGTCGGCCGCCGCCGCGACCACGACGACGACGCGGTCAGTGCGTGCGTGCGTGCGTGTGTGTGTGTGTGTGTGTGTGTGTGTGTGTGTGTGTGTGTGTGTGTGTGTGCGTGCGTGCGTGCGTGCGTGCGCGCGCGTGTGCGTGCGTGCGTGCGTGCGTGCGTGCGTGCGCGTGTGCGTGCGTGCGTGCGCGCGCGCGCGTGTGCGTGCGTGCGTGCGTGCGTGCGTGCGTGCGTGCGTGCGCGTGTGCGTGCGTGCGTGCGCGCGCGCGCGTGTGCGTGCGTGCGTGCGTGCGCGCGCGTGTGCGTGCGTGCGTGCGTGCGTGCGTGCGTGCGCGCGCGTGTGCGTGCGTGCGCGCGCGTGTGCGTGCGTGCGTGCGCGTGTGCGTGCGTGCGTGCGTGCGTGCGCGCGCGTGTGCGTGCGTGCGTGTGTGCGTGCGTGCGTGCGTGCGTGCGTGCGCGCGCGTGTGCGTGCGTGCGTGCGTGCGTGCGTGCGTGCGCGCGCGTGTGCGTGCGTGCGTGCGTGCGTGCGTGCGTGCGTGCGTGCGTGCGCGCGCGTGTGCGTGCGTGCGTGCGTGCGTGCGTGCGTGCGTGCGTGCGTGCGTGCGTGCGCGCGCGTGTGCGTGCGTGCGCGCGCGTGTGCGTGCGTGCGCGCGCGTGTGCGTGCGTGCGTGCGTGCGTGCGCGCGCGTGTGCGTGCGTGCGTGCGTGCGTGCGTGCGTGCGTGCGTGCGTGCGTGCGTGCGTGCGTGCGTGCGTGCGCGTGTGCGTGCGTGCGTGCGTGCGTGCGCGTGTGCGTGCGTGCGTGCGTGCGTGCGTGCGCGCGCGCGTGCGTGCGTGCGTGCGTGCGTGCGTGCGTGCGTGCGTGCGTGCGTGCGTGCGTGCGTGCGTGTGTGTGTGTGTGTGTGTATGTGTATTTACATGCGTGTATGGATGTTTGTGTGTGTATACTTGTGCAAGGGTGTTAATTTACGTGTTTGTGCGTACGAATGTATATTCGTCATAGATTCACCATCCCTGTTGAGTCCATTGATAGTGGGTTTTTCTATACTTAATTAATAAAATTATTAATTATTATTCATTTTATGTTTGGAGGTAGATGTTCAGACCCCGGAACAACCAACGTTCTATATGGTAATTTGGACCTTGTTTTATTTATTCAGAGTTGTTCTGAAACTTTTATAGCGTGATTTATTCTTCGGTTTGTTTTACGCTTGTGGGGTGACGACAGCGCTGCTACATATATGTATATAGCCGCTTGATAAGCGCCAAAGAGGAGCACTTAGGAAGAAATTAGTATCTAGAACACAGGTTTGCTCTTTTTTTTTTCTTTTTTTTTTTTTTATCGAATAACGGTGACAAACGAGCACACAGTTCACCTGATAGTAAATGGATGCTGTGGCCCATAGACATCTACGTTTATCCTCGATTAAGAATCAAAATACAGATGCGTTGTCATCCGTGAGTACAAAGATGGAATACCTCGTTTCCAGTAAAATGGCTCTTCGGTTCTCTGCACTCACCATACGAAACAGCAGCGTTAAGCTGCTATTTTACGCTGGTATTTTGAGATGATAACAATTCCGTTATTGTTACGTACTTTCAACTGACCAGACGTGAAACAAAAAATATTATCTTACAAACGTTCACTGGTTTAGTGGTCGAACTTGATGTCGATCGAGCTACGTTAGTGTCGAATTTAAATAGTGTTTTCATAAAAATGTCATCATTGCAGGAGGAGGATGAAGAGGAGGAAATGGCTGGCGGATCTGAAAATGACGACGGATCTGACTCCGGCTCGGACAATGACGATGACTGTAAGTATATGTTTTTGTGGTGGGTTTGGATGTTTCAGAAAACGAAATCCCACGGAAATCCTTTGGAAACGAAATTTTTCCCTGTGGAATTTAATAAAAAAATAGGAAAGAATATTAAGGGGCAGTGAAAACTAAATTTCGGTTATGAAACAAATTTCGTCTAAATGAAAATTAAACTCCATAGAACAAAATGAAGTAAATTTTCAAGGAGTAAAAGAAACTTCAAATTAAACTGTAAGTTCGTTTGTCATTTCAGTTTTATAAAAAATAAATTATAAAATAAACCACGTAGTGGTGGTGTCAGAATATCCACTATCTCATATCGTCCCGTGGGTGTTGTAATAGACGATAGAAGGAAACAAATCAAGAGATGGACAGCAGCGTCTTCCTAATAACGACTAAAAATAAAAAACTGCGGTTGCCAACTCGCTTGCCAAGCGTGGCAACTATGGCAAATATCGCCTCTATGAGGCAATCTATGTTGGAGGCCTATGTTCATCCTTGGACTTTAATAGGCTGTAACGATAACGGTTTATTAATAAATTGACTACAGCAAAATCTATCGGATTCTGGCGCCTATGTACCATTGCCTTGATAAATATAAAAAAATATATTACCTAAATATGTTCTCAATCGTTTTCGTTATACAGAGGTTATATTATAATCACTAGTAAATTCTCCAACGTTTATTTATATAAAGACTTGTTAATATTTATACATAAAAAATATAAAATAAGTATTACTAGCTTAAAACTAAAGAGTGCTGGGCTTTTTGTGCAGCAATACCCGTAACTTATATTGATAGCACACTTTTATTACCCGACTGCCACAAGAGGAGGGTAATATTTTTCGAGAGTATGTTTGTATGTATATATATATTTTTTTTTTTTTTTTTTATAGGATAAGGGTGACAAACGAGCACACAGTCTACCTGATGGTAAGTGGTTGCTGCGGCCCATAGACATCTACATCTATCCTCTGTTACAAATCAAAATGTAGATGCGTTGTCACCCGTGAGGACTAAGATGGAATGCCTCATTTCCAGTAAAAAGGGCCTCCAGCCACCTGCACTCACCAAGCGAAACGCAGAGGTAACCTCTACTTCACGCTGGTTTTCTGTGAGGTCGTGGTACTACCCTGGTTCGAGCCGGCCCATCCGTGCGACAGCAAAAGCTGCCGCGTGGCTCTACCACTGTTTAAAAAATATATATGTACTTACTACTTACTACGTACTAAATATATGTACGTATGTCTATCTATTTCTTTGGCACGCGCTGTAGCCTGAACGGTTTGATGTATTTTAGCATATACTTTGTTGTTAGATTCGTCTTAATTGCAGGAGTGACATAGGCTATATAATATTTATATATTGCAGCTACAAATACAAAAAGTGAAGGGAAGGTTTCTTTCAGTATAGTCAGGCCTCTGTCACTCTTGCTACCTGCGTGAAATAATTACCTACAATCGCGAGCTGCCCCAGGGGTGGATCGCAGTCGGGGCTAGCGCGCTCTAGGCGATTGAATGTTAAAGTTTGTTTAACGCTGTTTCCGTAAATATTTTTTGTAAATACTTGTTGATATATTCGTCGAAATAGTTTTTGTTTAGTGTGTAGTATATTTAATTGTAGGATAAAATAGTTGAAAAAGTTTTAATGTAATTTAAGAATAATATATATGTATATATCTATTTGATAAATTATAATGGCAAAACGTCGTTTCTACTATAATTGTTGCGGGGGTGGATGTTTAACCGATTCGATGCGGCACCAATTTTCGACAACTTTTAGCTGTGGCGGCGAACAAATATTTCATGACACGCCGGGCGTGTCAAGCGCCACAGACAACTACTACTTTTTTATGCGTTTTTTACTTGTTTAGACCTAATTAAGTTTATTTGACATCAAACATAAGTTACAAATGGAAGGATACTTGTTTTTAGTGGGTAACTACGTGTTTTTTACGCGTTTTCTTTGAAATTATTTATTATACAAACCTTTTGTGCTATTTTTTGTTGTTATAAAAAAATCATTTATATAAGTAGGTACAGCTAAATCACCCTGGAAACCTTGGTTTTTATTAAATTAAATTTTCACCTAATAATAACATTTGTAAATATCAAACAATGAAGAACCTTAATTTGAAAAAAAAAATATAAGGTATATCATTCATTGATATTTACAATGAAAACGTCTAATTAGTAAGAATAGCAAAACAAGTGTTATCAAAAAGATTGACAAAAGACTATTTATTAGCGAACTTTTTTTATGCCTGAACGGTTTCGAACTGTTTCAAGCAAAAATAAACCTTATACCATATCACAAGAGCACATGGTACTTCGTAGGTCTATTCGGCCATATGATAGTAATAAGACGGCAGTTCAACCATTTTAAGCAAAATTAAACAATAAGACAAACGTATTGTTTTTTATAACAGGAGACTTGTTTTCCAGAAATTTATTTAAAACTTGAGTTTGTGAGCGATCGCAATAAGTGCTATTATTTGTTACTTATTAGACAATTTTTCCATAACATGATTTAAAACCCACAAAGTAAAAATAGTACCATGTACACGTTAAAAAAAGGTTGTCAACCCCTAAAAATTTCAAATTTTCAAAATATCCAGAAACGAAACTGCATGGATGAACTACTGGCAAAATAATGAATATTTTGTTCTGGATAAATTTTCCAAAAAAGCAATTGAGCGAGTTATAACGATTTAAAAAAAAGACACGACTCGCGTGTTATACGCCACACACAAAAGTAATCGATGGCACGCCTGGCGTGTCACACGCACTGAACCGATTAATGAGCAATTAAAAGTATTCATATATATTTTCTGAGTTACCGAAGCATAATAAAAGGTAAATTTATTTCATTTTTGTTAGATAGGTACTTATAGCGAAAAAATAATTTAAGTAATAATTTAACTACAGAAGTAATACCTAAGTACTTTATTACAAAACTTAGTTGAAATTTACTTCACTACCCAAGTACCTACTTACATACCTATACTCGTCTTTGTAATAAGTTATAATAGCACAAAATACTAAAATTAAAACTTTGTTTACAAGATTTTCAACTAAGTAGATTACGATCAAGTTTCTGTTAGGAATCGTATTTCGGGTTTATTTGTTGTTTACGCTATCTACCTATACGAACCAAGCATCGCGATTCCCGACGAATGGCCTTGCAAGTTGCATGCGTTGGCCATCACAGAACTCACATAGTAGATAATAGATAATATGATCGATTAGTCAACATCGGTACTTTACCTAAGTAACTTACCATTTCACAATGTATTGTTTTACTCTTTATTAACAGCCCTTAGCAACTACGGAAAGTCCGTTGTGACGTAGTAAGGAGAAAAGATGCAAAGTAATACGGACCTTCGTTTGCAGCGATAAAGTTTTATTTAGCTTGTGTGCGCGATTTATCTGATTTATAATAACTACGTAGGCTATTAAAACGTCGGCAAGCAGTCCACATCAAAAGAGTGCAACTTCTGTACGTAGTACTGTTATTTATTCTGTGGTATAGTTTTTAACGCAATCAGGTTTTTAATTTTACTATTTTAACCATTAAGCTGGTATTGATACAGTAATCAAGCAGTCAGTGTTATTAACCTAATCATTATATTTATTAATTGCATATATAACACTCTAGTCATTAAAAATACTTATTAAGAGTTGTCAAAAAAAACGTTAATTTATATTTAATTTAACTTAAAATGGAAAATCGACAAAGATAATAAATTTTAAGATTAGTTATTTTTTATTTATTGTGGTGTGCAATACCCAATTTATTGTGTAAGATGAATTTTACACTTTCAAAATTATATTATAAACACTTGAATTATTTTTTTCTTCAACCTAATTACATGGTCTAATAATTTATCTTCCTTTGCACACAATTTTGATTAATTAATTTTATCTTTCTCTTACGTATTATTATTCTTATATTATTATCATTCTTACATGCCCTTTTAAATTAACATAGTAACTTAAATTTTACATAATCCTTACAATAGTATAAGTATTGCAAATCAGTATATGGTCTACTTTCGTTGTTATGAGGTACAAAATAATGTATGATTGTGTTGCAGTGGCGACAAGCTTGCTGCGCAACGCAGTGATGGGGCTGGCGGAGGGCGGCAGCTCGGGCGACGACTCGGCCGACGACGCGGACGACGTGCGCCCCAGGAGAGCCGTGCGCACGCGCAGGCGGGTGCGTCCAGCATTCCCCTTCCTTCCTTCCTTCAGCGTTTCATTCCTCCTAACCTAGTTCCAATTATCTAAGAGTAACTAACTCTATTTACCACGTGCTCGGCGGTGAAGGACAACATCGCGAAAAAAACTGCACGTCTGAGAAAGAAAAATATATTTCGAAGACATGTGAAGTTCGTCAACACGCATTGGGGCAGCGCGGCGAACTTCACCTTGCCCTTTTTTTTTTTTTTGCGGATGGAAAATCATCAAATGACGCCTTTCGCTCTGGGTGGAGCGGAAGGGAGTGTCAGACTTTTACTGACTAAAAACCATCCGTGTTCCTTCAGTGCCCTTACGTTCCGGAGCCGCGGTATCTCTTTCGAACAGCCCGCAGCCCCGGCAGGCGTCGGCCCTTGCGGGCCCCTTCACGCTGCTGACAGCTCTTTGAGGCGCGCGTGGAACAAAACGCGCCGTCGACACGACCTGTCGTCGTTAGACGGACGGACGGCGAGCTACCCATTGTTCGCCATCCACAGGCCCGCGCCTACGGTGGTCGGGGGCCACGACGTAGCCCCCGACGCCCGGGGCGTCTCCCGCGGCCCCGGGGCGTCTCCCGCGGCTCACCTTGCCCTAAAACCCTCTCAGAAATTAGAGGAGGCCTGTGCCCAGCTATGAGGCGTATATATAGGCTGCAACTTTAAATTTTAACTAACTCATAATGGCTGGCTTTCCACTCACTAACTTGCTGGTTCTCCCTAATAATGCTTTTCAACTGGTGTTGGTTGTATCATGCAAATATCCATGTCTAGCAGGGAATATTTAAATAATGAATAAAATTTATGTATGTTCATACATTGTATGTGGTAGAGCCGTGTTGCAGCTATGTTACGGTTCTAACACAATTAGTCTGCTCGACTGAGGAAGGACCACGCTCTCACAGAATAATACCGTGAAATTGCAGCTAAATGTTGTTGCATTTTGTAAAGTGCCTACAGTGACAATAAAAATATGATAAAAAATGAGCTCACTCTTAAGCTCCACCTGGTCCGAAGGCAAAGATGAGGTCTACGATGGAGTGAGTGTGGCCAGAAGCCTGTTCACACACACCTTTAACAGATTCGTTGCGACACCGATTTTCGACAACTTTTAGCTGTGGCGGCGAACAAATATTTCATGACACGCCACAGAAGTTGATGACACGCCTATCGTGCCATCAGCCATGTGTAAAAATAATTATCTTTTTTTATAATTTTTTCACTTGTTTAGACCTAATTAAGTTTAGTTGACATCAAACATCCGTTACAAACGGAAGGATACTTATTTTTAGTGGGTAACTACGTGTTTTCTTTGAAATTGAGAGTAAGTGACTTTTTTATGCAGAAATTACAAACCTTTTGTACTATTTAATGTTTAATAAAAAAAATCATTTATATAAGTCGGTACAGCTAAATCACCCTGGAAAACCTTGGTTTTTATTAAATTAAATTTTCATCTAATAATAACATTTGTAAATATCAAACAATCAAGAACCTTAATTTGGAAAAAATAAGGTTTATGATTCATTGATATTTACATAAATGTTAAATATTATTTAATGTTATACAAATGTAAAAGTAAAGTCGATCTGAAAACGTCTACTTAGTAAGAATAGCAATAGTATAATAATAATAGCAGAATAAGTGTTTTCAAAAGGAAAAAAAACGCCGGCGTTTTACGGCGGCGGATTGACAAAAGACTATTTATTAGCGAACTTTTTTATGCATGAACGGTTTCGAACAGTTTCAAACAAAAATGAACCTTATACCATATCACAAGAGCACATAGTACTAGGTTGTCGTCGTAGGTCTATTCGGTCATATGATAGTCATAAGACGGCAGTTCAACCATTTTAAGCAAAATTTAACAATAAGACAAACGCATTTTTTTTTACAGGAGACTTGTTTTCCAGAAATTTATTTACAACTTGAGTTTGTGAGCGATCGCAATGAGTGCTATTATTTGTTACTTATTAGACTATTTTTCCACAACATGATTTAAAACCCACAAGTAAAAAGAGTACCATGTACAATATAAAAAATTGTTGCCAACCCCTAAAAATTTCAAATTTTCAAAATATCCAGAAACGAAGCTGTAGGCATGAACTACTTGCAAAATAATGAATATTTTGTTCTGGATAAATTTGAGCGAGGTATAACGATTTTTAAAAAGACACGACTCGCGTGTCATACGCCACACACAGAAGTAATCGATGGCACGCCTGGCGTGCCATCCGCACTGAACCGGTTAAGAGGTTCAGATTATACGCACTCGGAAAAACAAACGCCGACAGGGCGTTCCACCCCTTGATCCCAGTGGATGTTGAAAACCAAAGATTTTTTATACCTTTTTAGTGGAAACGAGGCATTCCATCTTAATCCTCAGGTGTGACAACACATCTGCATTTTGATTCTTAATCGAGAATAGATGTTTATGGGTTACAGCATCTACTTACTAATGGTGGACTGTGTGCCCATTTGTTACCCTAATTCTATTTTTTTTAAGAATTGCTTCAGTTACCGATGGTTCTTTATAGTAATTATGCCTAAGATACCTGCATAGTTTCGCCATTTCTTCTCTTTTGTTCTTTTGAGTAAGCAAATGCTGTGGCCCATAGATATCTACATTTTATCCTCGTTTCAAACATCAAAATTAGACTTAAGAAAAGTTAACTCCTCAGAGGTCCAATTGAAAATGCCTTGTTACCAGTAAAGTGTCAATAAGGCTATATATGGATAAACTATATCTTTATATATAATGATAAAATATATCTTTTAGTTATATAGTATAAACAGGAATGTTTATTTTCCAGGCACAAGCAGCGGAAAATAACAGCAGCGACAGTGACGGCGATCTCGACATAATAGAGTTCGACATCGACTAGCTGCTAATAAATACGTTGACAGTTTGCATTGCTTGCTTATTTACAACTTTTCCTGTCTGATCTTCCATGTCTGATCACATATTGTTTACTGTTTTGTCAAAAAAAGTAAACATTATGTCATTTAGCACAAAATCCAATACTAATAATAACAAAATTCGAACCTAGAGTACTCACAGTTCGGGTATTTATAAAGAACCAGTGAGTGACCTCTGACTACTGCAATCGCTTTTACAAACGTGTGTGTGTGTGATAGAGACAGAAAGAGAGAGGGAGAGACAGAGCATACTACGTGTGTATGTAATATTTATGTATGTTTATACAGCACAGTGCCTATACCTGTGTTTGCAAGGCCCACTTCGGTCTATTTATGTGCATAAATGCATAGGTACTAAAAGTATGACTTGTTTTATTATGGTAAATTAATACTACTGTCTTTAAACCAATTATGACTAATTCTCGTCTTTATGTACTGAGATATCAAAGAAGAAAGAATGTTCTGGTGTTCAAAATATGCATTACTATAGCAACTCAAACACTTATCCACTTACCATTGAATAATAACGCACCACCACAACTTCATTGACTGCTTTTGATTACCGAGTATGATATCATTTCTTTATATAATATTACTGACACGTGCCTACTTTGTTGGGCGTCAAACATTTTTACTTGTGATGAAATTATCTTGTGTGGTTCTTAGTACTGAGTGTTTAGGATTTATTTTCGGAATTGATTGACAAATATTGTTATTTCACATTAAAAAATATTGTCAATCACAATCAAATATAGCCAATGGCACTCAGGAATAATGTGAAATAACAGCTTTCTACTGGTGAAAGAATTTTTAAAATCGGTTCATTAGTTCCAGAGTTTACTTCCTACAAACAAACTTACAAACTTTACCTCTTATAGCCATCAACAAAATAAACAATGATGATTAAAATTACTCAATAATTAGGTACAATGTTTTTTAAAATCGTAAATTAAAAATATAAGCACTATCGACAACAATATGAAAATAGTAAATTATACAATGGTAAAAACAGTTCACAAAACTACTAAAACTAATCATAATTATATTGCACTAATATTTTTTAATTTTCAATAAAAAATTTTAAAGAATAACAACAGATAAAGAAGTTTCAAATTAACAATCACGTTACCTTTAACAGTCTTACTATTCTATGAATAATCAAATTGTTAAAAATAAATTAATTTTATTGTAAGTGCAAGTTCTGAAATATTTCAAGAATTTCTTTCATTTTATCATAGCGTGTTTTTCCATCAACGTTTGACATCTCACAAGCAACTATTTTTCCGAATAACTCATTACATTGGCTTTTTATTTCATGATTGCTTACACATAATGTATGGTCAGTCATTGTGCCCATATCCTTCGTTGGTATAACAATGTCATCAAGGGTAGCAAATTTATCATGATCAGGCCATTGTTGGGACAAGGGAATGTTGTCAGGCCATTTTTGAGATACATTTAAAACATCTTGGTATGACATACCTATTATTTGGGTCATCATTGTGAGATTCTGGTATTTCATCTTGTGATACATCTAAGCAGCATTGAGAATCATTTATAGAAACTGGTTTCTTAGGAGTGATTTCCGGCTTTGAGAACACATCTTGTGAAATAAATTTTATATCTTTAGATGAAACATTGTAAGTGAAATTCAAAGGACAATGTTAAAACTCGCCTAAGAACCAACATATATTTGACTATTACCAAAATTCTTATCCTTTTATTATGCATTAGATAATATTCATTAGATAGTAACGGACACTTCCTGCTTCTGACTTGTGAAATCAAAATAAAAAGGACTCGATTTTGAACTTTGTACCTATTTTTTAATACTATTGTGCTTCGTGTATGGCCTTCTGTGATTTGGCCAATCGCACAATACCTTCACTCACATATTTCAAAAGTTGTCATAAACTGAAATATATTATGAAAACGTTTATATTTTAAAATATATCTCAGATTAATATATGCCACAAGGAACTGGGGTACAGTGAAATCATCTATTTTCATTTTAAATAACAATACTTTTGTCATCTCATTGGCAAATCAGTATTCTGCCACGCAAAAAAATAAGCCAAAAACGTTGACAGATGACAACAAGTCAAAATAGATAGACGTCAGACGTGCTATTGTTTTGGTTTCGGTTGAAAAAATACATTTCTGTTAATGTTTTAGGAATTTAAGTGCACTCTGTAGTTGCTTTGTTATGCGATAAATTTATATAAATTACGAACAACGGCTTGAACAACGGATACGATGTTTCATAAACATAAAACATAACCTCAAAATCTCTATGATAACTGCAAATATCTAAGTTTTCAGAAGTGTCCGTCAGGATTTATTGTTCTTACATACAATTATGTGTAATTTCGGACTTAAAAAGGTATTTTTTTTCACTGTTGGTTCTTAGGCGAACATTGTATAGACGCAAAACATTATCCTTTCCATTAGACTCAATTGGTTTCAAGTTTTTAACAGGAGTATGCATTTCGGTACGACTTTCCATTGACGTCAGTCGATTTTGGTGTTGATACGTATTTTTACAGAAAGATTACATTTTTATAAGCACACACACAAAGTTTCAATATGCGGAAACACGTACTTATTGAGAAAAAAATATTGTAAATCAAATAATTTTGCAATATTTAGTCAATTCCTACCGTGAAACTGACGCCATTTTTATTATTATTGTCAGTAGGGTGTCGATTCTTTCCGAAAAAGATCGATTTTTTAAATAGATTCGAATTGTAAGCTGATGTATCGATTCCCAAAAAATCGATTTCTAAAATATCGATATTTTTTTCATGCTTGCATTTATAATGTAAATATAAATCCATTTTATGATAAGAAAATCGCCTTCATCATAAAAGAATAAGGGGACTGATTTAGAAGGATTTCTGTATCTATTTTGAGACTGCTACGTCTCCGGCGCTATAAAACCACTCTAGGGGTAGGACAGACTCGTACCAGGTGGAGTCGGGGTCAATCAATTCGGTTCTTTGACATAAGTTGAACCTAACCTATTTTATTTGTTATCTGCCCTAATAGGTACTGTTAAATAAAACAAATTTCAATAAGAGATCATTTATCATGGTATCTTTCTTGTTTTTCATAAAATGGGTTTATATTTACATTATAAATAGAAACATTAAAAAAATATAGATATTTTAGAAATCGATTTTTGTGAACCGATACATCAGCTTACGATTTGAATCGATTTAAAAATCGACCTTTTTCGGAAAGAATCGACATCCCTATTGACGTCGACAATGACATTACAAAATGGCGCCAGTTTTACAGTAGAATTAGATATAAACATTGCAAGAATAATTTTTTTTATTCGTATAGTTTACTAACAGTCAACTAACACAATACAATCTTAAATAACAGAAAAGTTTCTTAAGCTAAGTGTAGTGACTACTTACTAGTAAACACAGCATGCAATATAACAATAACTTAAGTGGGTTTTGATTTTACTAAATAAAGTTAACAATTTTAAAAGGAAAAAAAAAACATTGTTTATCCGTATGATTAAAGAGAACACAAGCTGGTTGCACGAAATTAAGTACTAGTCATACTATCGACAATCTTTTTACGGAAATTATAAGCGGAATCAAAGTTTACGTCAACTCTGTGTTTGTAGCTATTTAGCAGCTTACACAGTCTGGGTAATGGAGAGTTGGAGACGAGAACGGTTCTGCGGGTTGGTGGTCTCAGTGGTGCTATCGGATGACGCGGATATCTTGAAGGCGCGCTAAAATCAAATGAGTTCAGTAACTGAGGGCAACTAATTCTATTGTTGAGAATTTTATACAAAAACAATAAGTCTGTTAGCTCCCTACGTTTATCTAAGGATAACATTTTTAACAGTGGTAGAGCCACGCGGCAGCTTTTGCTGTCGCACGGATGGGCCGGCTCGAACCGGGGTAGTACCACGACCTCACAGAAAACCAGCGTGAAGTAGAGGTTTACCTCTGCGTTTCGCTTGGTGAGTGCAGGTGGCTGGAGGCCTTTTTTACTGGAAATGAGGCATTCCATCTTAGTCCTCACGGGTGACAACGCATCTACATTTTGATTTGTAACAGAGGATAGATGTAGATGTCTATGGGCCGCAGCAACCACTTACCATCAGGTGGACTGTGTGCTCGTTTGTCACCCTTTTCCTATAGAAAAAAAAAAATTATCTATCCGCATATGAGAAATCTCTCTTTGCTTTACCAACTAATCGTGCCAAATGCCACAGAAACCGCTTGTGAATACGCTCAATGCGTAGATTGTGAACCGCAAAGTGTGGACGCCAGACAACAGAACAGTACTCGAGTGTGCTACGAACGAGAGTATTATACAGCATTTTCTTAGTATTAATGCTGAATCCTTTGCTATTTCGTATGACGAACCCAAGCAGCCTTGAGGCTTTTTTAACGATGTTTTCGTAATGAGGTATAAATGTCAGCTTTCTGTCAAAAGTAACCCCTAAATCTTTTATAACCTCGACCTCTTGAATAATATACTCATCTATTTTATAACTAAATGAAATAAGGTTTACTTTTCTGGTAAATTTGACGTGTCGACATTTTTTCGGATTTAGTGCCATTCGGTTGTCTCTGCACCAATCAATAAGATTTTTCAGATCCCTTTGTAATAATATTGAGTCTTCTATTGAATTTATATGTCTTAAAAATTTCAGGTCATCGGCATACATAAAAACACAAGAGTTAGTTAAGTAGTCTGGGATGTCGTTAATAAAAAAAGTTAAAAAGGATAGGGCCAAGATGTGATCCTTGTGGCACACCTGAGGTTATACTAATATTATCAGATCGAAAGCCGTTGACCACAACGTAAAAAGTCTGATCCTCTAGATATGATGACAACCATGTTAAAAAAGAACCAGCAAACCCATAACATGCTAGTTTATTGAGCAAAATGTCATGAGGCACTTTGTCAAAAGCTTTGCTAAAGTCAGTAT